AGGGTAATCTTCCCATTTCGAGGCCAACTAATTAGTAACTTTAATTACCCTAGCATGTAACATATTCACTGGTTCCAAGGCATAGGGCATGGAGATCTGTGTGGAGAGGGTGGTCATTATTTTTCCTAGCACACCCTTGTTTACAAATTTTGAATGCTTCTTTATAACCTTATCTTATACATTTTATTCAACTTGCTTTTGTCACTTTTCTCTGAGCACACGCTGAGTGCATCTACCCCACTCCTCTTAAATGGCTAGAGAGTATTCCAATTATGAAATTGCCAGAGTTTAATCATTTCCCCATAGATAGAAATTTAAGTTACCAATTTTTCGCTGATATAAACAGTGGGGCAATTAATATCCCTGTGCATATCTCTTTGCACAATTGTGACTGTTTCTATAGGAAAAATTCCTAAGAGGTTAAATTCTGAGTCAAAATGTATATCCATTTAATTTTCACAAATATTAACAAATCATGTCCCAAAAATGTGTACTCATATTTTACACTCATACCAATAATGCATGAGAGTGTCTATTTATCTTCCACACTACTTACACTAGATATATGGGATTCATTTTTGAGTCTTTCAGGATGTTTATAGCACTCTGAGGTATCTATATAGGTTTTTCTGGAACAAAATAAAAGCTTAATGTTTGGTGGATTGAAGGTTAAAACAATGCAAATCCATGTGTACAACTCAAGGGGGTGAGTCCTAACAATGATGTATCGGTAACAGATAATGTGTGTAAATGTGACTGGTACATTATAAAGTACTATTAACATGTTACTTTCATGCATAGAATGTGTTCTTTTCACATTTAGTTCTCATATCTCATACCAATTGGCCTTGCTACTTCCCAGTTTCACATGGCATACGCTTTGTTGCCAAGACTCATAATATACTTTCACTACGAACCCCAGAGTGTCTAAGGTCTAAAGTGTGTGACTGTACTAGTCCTTCAGGAGGAAAGGCATGACAAGATCATGGGCACACGCGTCCACCGAAGATAGTAAGAAAGCCCAATAGAAAACGTTTCAGAGAACAAGGATTCCCACTCCTGGGTAGTAAATATTTTGGAGGGTCCAGAGTCAACTGATTTTGTACTAAATAATTTCTTAAGGACAGGACCCCGTGGGCCTAGATGGAACATCCTGGTGAGCACCCTACCCTACGGATGCCTACCCCACCCCCCACCCTGGGAAGTGGCGATAAACTCTGTAATACTAAGGACCAGGACCACATGAGGTGCAGGCATGAGGGAGCTTGCTGAAAGAGCACTGAAGGCTGACCTAGGCTCTCAAGGCTATGATAGCTGGGGGGAGATCATTATTCTCTACCATCCACTTCCCCTGGCCTGCTCTAGAACTAGGAATCAGCTTCTCAGTGGGAGTAAAAGCAGTGTTGGCAAGAGGAAATGTAAGAGAATGGGCTTCAGCACTGCCCTGATTGTTTGTTTCTGGAGTCAGAGTTCATACAAACCTAAGTGGGAATTTCTCCCTCTAGTTTTCTTCCCACAACCACGGTTTAGAAGGTGTGTGTGTGTTTTTAAGTAAATATTTTACTACTGTGCTCACACAGTAGGAATGTGCGTGTTTAAGAACACAGAAGAGACAATGTCCTGAAACTAGAAAGGAAATGGGCCCCGCTGCCATCCTTCCCCCCACCCACCCCGCAACCAACCTGCAAACACATGTGAACACACACGCAGTTCTCGTCCCTGGCTTTGTAGGACTTGATCTCTCTCTAGAGGCAACTGAGTGGTACCCCCTGATAAGCAGTGTTTGGGAGAAAGAATGTTTGGTATGAACAACTCAGAAAATACTCCTGAAACTACTAACATATTAAAATAATTCGCAAAGGACCTAAGAGGACTTAAAGGCTTGTGTCATGATTAAGAGTGTAAGCTCTGGAGCCTGAGGGCTTAAGACTGCATGCTGGCTCTCACACTAGCTGTGACCTTGGGCAGGTCACATAACCTTTCTGTGCCTTAAAATCTTGTCTGTAAAATGGGGAATAAAAATACCTACCTTATAAGGGTTGCTGTAAGGACTGAATGAAATAATGCATATAAAGCACCCCGTACTGTACCAGGCATATAGTAAGCGCTCATAAACATAAGCTATTATTTAATTCTTCCACAGTGGCTCACAGTTCTATGCCCAAAGTCTTTAAAGTATTTGTGGAGCAAATGAAATTGACAACTATTAGTTTTATACACACCCCTAACATGCTAATTTTCCCATACTTAGCCTACTAAATTTCCAATAATATGGGAATAGCTGTTGTTACAATTGCTTAATTCTTTTCCCCAAACTTTGTGGTTCTGCCTCCCTTTTCCAGAAACCATTTGCTGGCCCCATCTCTGCCTCCTCTTCCATTCTTTGACTTGCTCCTACACATGTACTGTGTGTTGCTTTAAGATTTCAGAGGGTAAAAAGAGAGTAGCCAATTAAAAAATTGTTTGCAAATGAATGATACTCTATAAGAAAGACACCTGCACCCGAATGTTTATAGCAGCACAATTCACAATTGCAAAGATGTGGAAACTACCCAAGTGTCCATCGATACATGA